AGACTAAGCGGATTTCCATTTTCCTGATTTGATTTTCAATTAAATCTATTTAAATAACATTGGGTTTAACGAGTACCTAGATTTGCTGCCTACAGGGTAATAAAGTGTGTTTTTTAGTAAAATATTAATAGCTTAGTATAAAATAAATAGATTGTCCAAGTTTGATCCAAATATATGCATAAATAAGCAAACTACAACAGTTTACTTTTTCTCCATAAGAATAACATGGGAATTTTTAATTTACAATTTTCTCCGTAACCAATAACCATGCAAAAACACTTCAATATACTGAATTATTTGTTTTTTTAAGGTCTTCAAAATGGTCTAGAGAAAATTTGGGAAATTTTATGTTTTGAGGACCCGTCAAAAATGAGAAAAACCAATTTTTACCCTATAAATCTCCCCATAAAACCCTGTTCCCATGGTCCGATCATGCTGGCTCGCGAACTCGTTCGAATAAACGTAGGTTTACACCTTTGTACCAAATTTCATCGAAATCGGATAATTTTTGCTCGAGTTATTGTGCTAACGGACACACACACATATACAGGGTGAGTTTCTACTTAGCGTGTTAACTTCGCCAGTAGGTTCTACTCACTTAAAAGAAACAAAAAAGGTCCAATAAACCCATGTCCGGTTTTCAACCGTTTGGCTGTAATAGCGGATTTTGTGTTTTTCTTATTTTATTAGACTTTGCTCCACAATTTATGTAATAAAAACTTAACCCATTACTTTAGTGAGTTATAGTTAAAATCATTGGAAAGAATATTAAATTTGCTATAAATTAAAGGTTTCATTCAACAATTATACCATTACATAGTCCACGTTATATCCAAAATAAAGTAAAAATGTCATTAAATTAATTAACTACGAAAATGTTCATGAGCCCACTTTGATACATAAACCTGCATTTATGCAATGTTGAAATGCATAAAAAACTTGGTCATTTAATAATCTTTCAAATGATATGCTATTCAATACTATTATTGATATAAACCAGTGAGAAATTACAAATAAACTACAATAAAACACGGTTTACAGATTTTGTTTTTGCACAGGTTTACTGTTGATAATAATTACTGTATACTCCATGTTGTATTTTATTGAACAATCTGAAAAGATTTGTACATTATTTTAACTGTTAAATATTTATTAAAATTATCTGAATTAATAAAATGTATAAACTCAAGGTATTTCACATTTTCAAAGATGTAGTGTGTTTGATTCTTAAATGCTGTATAATTAGTTTTACCTTGTGCTTGATTAAGTCAGCTTTTATTGATTTGTCATCAATAGCTAGATAACTCAGCTGCTTAAACATACCTTGTTGAGTAATTTGGTGTTTTAACTTTATATTTCCAAGTCAATTTAGAGTTTTTCAACATTTATTAAACTACTAGCTGTGTGCCCGTTCTACGCACGGGGATCTTATCATAGTCAGTTAAAACCTTCTTATATAAAGCACAGCAGTTGGTTTGCATACTTTCAGATATGCTGACAAAACTATTCCTTCGCAAATACAGTATCTGACAGTTTCAAGCCAAAACTAATGCTTCGCAATTAAATGTCACCCGGATCTTGTTGGTCCATATGTTATATCCAATGATGAAACTAAATAAACGGTATCAGCATTCTGACACATACTTTCTCCCATAAGTTTGTCAACAACATTTATCATGTGTAAGCGGTGAGAGTAAATATACGGAAATGGGATTTGTACAATTTTGTTCAGAATTTAAAGGACTATAACATAATGGTTAAAAGTATTTAAGGTACTACCTCAACCTCTTAATTTAACACTTTATTCGGGTTGACATTTTCATTATCAAGGCGCTCTTGTCCTTTCCGTGAAACATTGAGAAACAAGGACATTAATGCGTTACCATCATACATACACACAAAAATACCGAACTTAATTAGGGAATCTACTACGCTTTAAGCATAAAAAGGTACATATAAAATTAGTACTTGAAATCTTTGTTAATGCCATAAAATTTGATCATAACAATTTATATTTGCTTGGACCGGAGATGACTCGAAATTCTGTCGTAATGCTATCTGAATCGGTTTGCTATATGAAATGAAGTACAGTAGGCCTACTATAGACGATTTAGATTGGTAATTTGTAATAAAAATTACCAAAATAGGCCACGAACTATTGATACATAAACAACGTTCAAAGTGTTTGAACAATTCATGATGGTTTGCTGAATAAATGTTTTACTAAAATGCGTTATAGTTTTCTTAGCATAACATTTTGGAATCCAGACAGAAAAAGCAAAAATTATACAGTTAAGACATCAATTAAATTGAATAGGCCTACGCCTGTAATAAATAAGGTGCAACACCAACGATAACTAATTTGTAAATTACTGTGATGTGTTGGTACGTAAAAATGATTCTTGCTGCTACTAAAGGTTAAAAGGAAAAGAACCAGTACCGTACCAAAAACCAACGTTTACAGTTAAGAACTGTAGTACAGCCGACCAATTATATGCGTTAATCAAGGTTATTGATCTCTTGGTTTTGGATTTTCTCGTAAAAAGTTATCGGCAATCAAAGTTATTTCCCATTAATTGCTTTATTTGTACACAACTCTTAATGTAAACTTATCGGTGTCAGTTTGAAAAAAACCTTATACAACATAACTTTCTGTTATTTAATAGATTAGGTATTCTCTAAACAATGGTTGCTGGTATATATATTAACATTATAAGGAAATGTGACAAAAATCACACAACGTTGGGTTTTTGGACGTTTATAATTTTATTTCTTAAGTACCTAGGTAGGCCGTGTATTCTATGGGAAAGTACCGGTATCAAGGATCGTTGTCGAAATGGTTGTTATAAATAATTGGGTAAGCATACGTACCACACGTACCCAAGAGAAGGGCTATGGGCCTATTGGCTGTATGGTCCAGCGATTGCATCACACGGTGAGTAGGAACTATTGACTTTATATAGTCAATGGTAGGAACAGAAAGTGACACATTGGAAAATCGAGTTCAGCATCATCCGTAAACCTCTGTTACAATCACCCACTGCAGTTGTAATTTTTTGCTTTACACTTTACACAACCGCCATTGAAGAGTCGTCAATGAGTGGAACATTGTTTCTAAGCTATTGGCGACGGTCATTAGTAAATTTAAGTTTCCCAGCCGTATACAACACTGATTCAATGTCTTCTTTCTGGTTATCAAAACTCCAAAACAATTTTATACACATATTTCTGGTTCCTGACCTGGATGATGCCTAGTTATTTAATTTACGGTTACACTATATTATTCCACTTGTGATTAATTAAATCCTTTATGTAATAAAAACGTTTTTAATCTCACTTGGATGGGATTTGCCTTCAAAACGTGATCGGAAATGGTTGTGGTGTTTGTAAACAACATTTGTAAACATTTCAATGACAGCTAGAAAAAATAATCTTGATCCGAACAGCTGTTTGTTGTTTCATAGATGATTATGTGATACAAATTGGAAGAAAACTTGACAAAAATCGCACAAAACTGCATTTTTGAACGGCCGTAATTTTAATTACAAAGTAGTGAGACCATATTTTAATGGCTAAAGACACTCTCGCCAATCCAGTGAATACATTAAAATGACTTGGGTCTTGATAGGTACTCTCGTTTTCCTGGAGAAGATTGCGTAAAATGCCATCTTGAGTGTGTCAGACAGACAGACAGACAGACAGACAGACAGAAATTTAGATGAGACTTGTTTCGGCTTCTTTAATGTATAAAACGTAAAAATAACCTAAAAATGTATGATTCTGAGCAATGTACAGACAAAACTCTAATTTTATTTATATGGATGGAGCCTTTTACCAATCAAGAGTATGCCAACATGATGAATACACTAATTATTATTAACAGTACAAACTGTGTCAAAACAAAATCTGTAGACCGTGTTTTATTGTAGTTTATTAGTAATTTCTCACTGGTTTATATCAATAATAGTATTGAATAGCAAATCATCAAATTATCGTAATTAGTTAATTTAATGACATTTTTACTTTATTTTGGATATAACGTGGACTATGTAATGGTATAATTCTTGAATGAAACCTTTGATTTATAGCAAATTTAATATTCTTTCCAATGATTTTAACTATAACTCTCTAAAGCAATTGGTTAAGTTTTTATTACATAAATTGTGGAGCAAAGTCTAATAAAATAAGAAAAACACAAAATCCCCTATTACAGCCAAACGGTTGAAAACCGGACATGGGTTTATATGAACTTTTTTGTTCCTTTTAGTGAGTAGAGCCTACTGGCGAAGTTAACACGGTTAGCAGAAACTCACCCTGTATATATATATATATATATATGAATTTGAACGGATGGTGTTTTTGGCTTCTAGGGACATCAAAATGAAAAAGTAAATCGGTCCCGGGACTAAGTCTTACCATGAGACCTACGGTAATAGCTTATTCCCTATAGGGAAATTCGCTAAAAGCACACATGTTAACACAAATTCTAATTCATGAATGTTTTCATAACGTAAGCAATAGAAAAATATATGATAGTGATAGTAAAAATAATTATAAATGAAATATTGTACAGTCTTAGAGAAGTCCTAACAAAGGTCCTAGTCCTAAGTATATTTTGTATAATATTCTAGTTAATTTGAAACAGAAGGCCATCTGTATTGTAAACATAAGTAATATATGAAACTAAATTGTGGAATGAAGTTAATTAACACTTAGGAACTCAGTGAACAGAACAACAATGTCTTGCTGATCAAATACAGTTCTTCTATAATTATTGCTAGGCATATAAAAATTTTCTTAACTTACCGTAACTTTAAACAGGTGAGGCACGAGCTTAGTCTGTTGATACTGTATGGTAGTTGATTTTACATTAAATTAAACAATGTACATTCAATTGATTTTGTGTGTTAAACATCCAAAATAATATTGTGTTTTCTTTGCTATGCATAAATATATGTAGATACATGTTTATATGTCTTTTATATTTTGTGGGGTTTCAGGAAAAATTATCAAAAATATTTCCACATTTGAAAATAACAGTGGCAAAGAAAGCGGATTCCCTCTACCCGATTGTGAGTGCAGCCAGTATATGTGCTAAAGTAACAAGAGACATTGCTGTTCAGAATTGGGTGTTTGAAGAAAAAATTGATCTGCCTGAAGGTCTAGCGTGGGGTAGTGGATATCCCGGAGGTAATCCACTAATTATGTCCAAATGTATAAAAGTATATTTTATATTTCTATTATTAGGACCTTATTAGGACTCTAATAGGAATAATTTTTATACCGTTTAAAAGATAAGATTCTAAACTTGCATTTTGTTACATAATCACAAGGGATCACTGTACAATTGAGCACTTAAGTAAAAAAATTTCAAGCAAAGTCAGTTGCACCATGTACGCGTCACAAAACTGCCAATACACGGTATGTTTCAAAAAATCATAACAAGGGATATTTTTTGTCTACAAGATTTATGGCACCACTGCAATAAGGAAGAAATTATCAATATTATGGTGTAAAAATCATTTTGATATGATTACATATGATCTCACAAAAAAAAAAAAATCAATAATTTTTTATATGTTCGTGAATTGGTAGAGCAACTATAATAGTTTCAGTTGTAAAACATATATTCCCTGAAATATATAACTATCCATTTATTATTCGTAAGTCCATGAAATTGTGTGCATTGTGGTATTTCATTGTATTAGATTGCACCACTAGTGCTGATGGTATCAGCTGATATTTTTTGTGAATATTTGTCTGACGTAACTAACCTCATTCTCTGTTGACCAACAACTTACAAGGCGAGTTTTGGTGTGATTTTGTTTTAAATTTGTAAATTTTAAATTTAAATTATTATTTATATTATTCATTGTGCCTCGACTGAAATGTGACATTACTTTTAGAAACTTGGGACACTATTTTTAGCCTGTTTTTGTGAACTTTATTGACTGTGATTTATTCGTTGCTAACCACAAATTTTGTGAGTGTGACATTAACTTTACCACTTTGAATCATATTTATTATTTTTTAAATTTGTAAATATTTAGTTTGGAAACTGTTTACTGTGCATAGACTTACTAAATTTTAGGTTTAGGACATTGCATTTTGCCCGTTTTTGAAACGTTTGTCATAGTGAACAAATGATTTCATCGCCACATGAAAAAGTATTTTATATTAAACACTATAAAATAGTTATTAGCGAATTTCCCTATAGGGGAGGGGGAGTATTATCGAATTTCCCTATAGGGAAGTATTAGTGAATTTCCCTATAGGGAAGTATTAGCGAATTTCCCTATAGGGAAGTATTAGCGAATTTCCCTATAGGGAAGAAGTTATTACCGTAGGTCTCATGGTAAGACCTAGGCCAGGGACTGATTTACTTTTTCATTTTGATGTCCCCAGAGGCCAAAAACACCATTCGTTCAAATTTATATATATGTATATATATATCTATATATAGGCTAGATATATATATATATATATGTCCGTCTGGACGATAACTTGAGTAATTTTTGTCAGATTTTGATGAAATTTGGTTTGAAGGTGTAAGGCGGGATAAACTTGAATGACTTCTCGAACCAGTATGATCGGACCATGGCAACAGGTCCATGGCAATGGGGTAAAAATTGGTTTTTCTCATTTTTGACACTCAAAACAAAAAAATTCCCAATTTCTCTATATACCTTCTTAAAGAGCTTAAAAAACAAATAATTAAGCATATCAAAGTATTTTTGTACGGCTATTGGTTACGGAGAAAACTAAAAAAAATTTTAAATTTAAAATTCCCATGTCATTCTTATGGATAATTATTGTAAAATGTTGTAGTTAATAATATTACTCCAATATTCTCCCTATTAGTTTATGGATATATTTTGTATTTTGATAACACTTGGCAAATTTATTGATTTTATTCTAAGCTATAATTATGTTATTTAAAAACACTTTAGTTTCCTTGTAGCAGCAAACCTAGGTACTCGTTATAAAAATTTATTGATTGAAATCAATTCAGGCAAATGGAAATTCGCTTAGACGGCAGGTTTGCTGCGGCGGGGGTATTTTATTTTTATTTTTGCCTTTATAACTACATACATTCTTGCAGGTTAATAAGTTTACTTCCATTTTATTAAGTTGCTATTTGGGTTTTATGTGTTTGAAAAATAATATACATACATTTTCAAAAAACAAATAAATATTTAAAGTCATAAAGATTTATAGTAATTATCATTTTGTTTGCTGCGGCGGGGGTATTTTATTTTTATTTTTGCCTTTATAACTACATACATTCTTGCAGGTTAATAAGTTTACTTCCATTTTATTAAGTTGCTATTTGGGTTTTATGTGTTTGAAAAATAATATACATACATTTTCAAAAAACAAATAAATATTTAAAGTCATAAAGATTTATAGTAATTATCATTTTCTATGAACATCTCTTCATGAACATTTGATCTCCAATGTTAATTAATTGCTGTGCCGGAAATTCACCAGAAATTTTTGAATTTTTTCCGTCACCAGTTTTTTGGGTCATAAGAGAACTTAATCAATGATGAGAGTTTTCTCTAAAACATTCTTATAGTGCGAGAACACCAGTTTCTGAGATTTTATTTTGCTTGTGTGGTAGAACTGGGAGCATCGGCAATGACAACCCGAAAATTGACAACGTTATAGGAAATCAAGTGGAAGTTTATTTGTTTGAGATATTTAATATTACTTTGTTTTAGAATTTAAGGCGTATTGGAAATCATGTTGGTGGACGATATTAATTTTGTGTTACTTTTTCCAGTCGTTTGACTATGATTAAATCCGTTACTGTTGTTTAAGTTTCGGTTTTGGTTTCAGTCGTTAGTTGAGTCGGCGTCCCGGTTTCTTTTTCTCTTGCCTCGCCATCTTGCAGTGAAGAATCATGTCGTTTTGTCACTCTAGAACTTTTACCAAAGTCTTTTGAATTTTCTTTACTTAAATATGTTTGAGTGATATCATTTTAAATTTCATGTTTGACTGACTCACCCACAACCCCATTATAATGGTAAGTTGAATTTGTATTAACTACTAATTAAGATCTCAAAACTGACTCAGAGAAAAATGCTGATTAGTTCGTTTCGCCGGTAGGAAGTTTCATACCTGTTAAAATGTTACACATTTTTTAAGATTCAAAAGTTCTGTTAATCTCATTTTAATCCCTGACTTGTAAAATTTCTTTTCCTTTGTTTAATGAGTATAAAATAAACTGTATCATACCCACTAGCCTAGGCCTACACTTGAATTATTTGGCAGGTATATTTTTGAAAGAAATCTCTGTATTGGTATCTAGTAACGATTAATTATTGTTTATTGCATTGCTGTAACTTTGTCAGACATCCAGGAGGCTCTGTGTTTAAGATAAATTTAATTTCTGGTCTTTTAGTTAGCTGGAAGGATAGGACTAAAGATTGCAGGCTAGGCCTACCAGATCCAATGACTGGTTAACGGCACATGTGTCGATTTGGTTTTGCAGATAAAGGAAAAACACTGTTATTGTTTCACACAAGCATAAATATTTTGGTTTCTATAAATTTTGTAAATTTTAATAAAATAAAAAAATAAAAAAAAATAGTGAGTTATACAACTTAGGCCTATTATGGAAACACTTGTAAAAAAAAGGAAACTTATCTTTGTCAAATCAAATTTGGTTTTAGTAGGCTTTATTTCCAATTGTATGTAGCTATTTTCTTTAAATATAAAAATGTTCTAACATGTAATGTGAACTAAATGAATCTCAAATTTTGAGTGTTAAAGATGTAACGAATATCACTTTCATTTAAAACTTAGACCTATTGTATACAGATTACTATGTATGAAGTTTTTCGTAACAGGGGTTCGACTTCCTGGGACGAACACGCTGAGGTCATCGTAGAACTAACTTGAAGCCGCAGGCCTACTAGCCTAGACACCTGGGTATGGGAAAGCAACACCACTTTAGAGGAACCTCTTGTCTACCCTGTGTTGGAGGGCGAGGACCCTTTTGAGTCTGTCAGACCTGGAGTTTTTCAACGCTAGAGTACATCCATGGGGGACTACCTACTTCTGTCCACCTCGCCAACACACCTCAAAATTGCTCGATACTCAGGTGACTTCTAACCTTTTTGGAAATTATTTTGCTTCAGCGGATGGACTGATCTACAACTTTCAAAGTGAAATCTAAATTAGGCCTAGGCCTATTTGAACTTAAGGGGGTGCACCCATGGACTCAAATTAACTTCATGTATACAACTTTATAAATTTTGGTTATTATTTCTGGCCTAACTTTAACTTGGTGATTTCCAGCGAATTTTTGGTAGAGATTCTTGTAACGTTAAACTGTTTTATCTGTTCTGAATTTTAGCTTTAACTTTAACTCATTTTATATTGAATTTTATTCTCTAAACCCATACTGGGAAGAATTAAAAGATGTTTTGATTAAATTTCACTTAACTTTAACTTTTATAAATTTTTGGCCAAGCTTCAATAGGTTACAGCACAGACTTGGTGTCCCAGGAATTACTGTTTAGATTTATAGTTAGTTTCTTTATTGCAGGTTGTAATTTTATTTAAGTATTTGTATCTTTTAAGAGTTTTGGGCCCAAAATCTCGTCTTGTGTTAAGGTTGGCGAAACAAAGGTTTTAGTTGATAAGTAATTCACATTTTGGCTTTTCAGGTGTATTAATTATTTAGAAATTTGCCTACGCCTTTGTCGTACTTGTAGTAAATTTGTCATTTATGGTTTGAACCAGTTTGTAAAAGGGTATTTGTTTTTCTTTTAATAAATCAGGGTGAGTCAGTTACGATGTGTTATCATTTCCCGGTCCTGCTGACCTGTTTGAGATTGTCCCACCCTTCAGGTGGTACAAATTCTGCGCCACTCTGCTAACAGGTCGAGGAACGGGCTGTGATAAAGTAAATTTTTAAAGTTTTTCCTTTTTGTAGAGGGGTGGAAAGTAAATATGTGCTAGGTAAAAGAAAAGACGCTTTATTTAGTTTGTGGTTAGGTTGTTGTTAAATTAGGGCGAACCAGCATGGCTTTCAATCCGGACCTTTTGTTGAAAGAGGATCTTATTTTTGAGTTAGCGGTGCGTGGACTGGATTTTGAGAAATTAGATGTGAACTCGATGAGGCGTAATTTGCGTCAAGCTTTTTCGGACAATGTTGTTTCTGATGCAAAGAACCTTGA